GCTCACCGCACCATGCGGAGAGTCACTACACAACGGGAGTGGACTACGGTGGAGGGCACGGGGTTGTGCGAGTGATCGTAGCTTGCACTAGCGTTCTTACTGCTTGCTTGTGTTCACAGAGAAGTTTGGCAAGAATTCCACTAAGGAAAGTTACAACTTGCAATGAAAAGTTGAAAGTACAATTGAGGCATGCAGAATGAGAATGACTAGAATGGCATGCAGAACCTAGCAAGGACTCTGCAGGGCGAACTCTGCCAGCGCAGCAGAAACGCGGCGTGCGAACGCTCGAGCAGAACGATCTGCCAGCGTCGCACCGCAGGTGGTCTGCCAGTGCTGCAGTCGCATGTGACTATCTGGAGTCGCAGGTTGTCTATCTGCGCAGATGTGCGCACCTACCAAGTAGGTGCAGATTGGCGGTTTCACCGTCAGGCACATTGCGCAGGTGCCAGGTAGAAAACGTGTCATCGGTTTCGCCAGGTGCGCACCGTCGAGCACGTTCTGCCGTTCCGCAGGTAGAACTTCGCCAAAATCTCCTGGGCGAAAGTTCGCACGCCTCCGCAGAGTTTCGCTCAACTCTGCAACTTCGTTCGATCAGCTCCACATCGATCGGTCGAACAACGTTCGCCGAACAGAGCTCCTTGACCCGAACTCCTCGACCAGAGTTCCTCGACCCGAACTCTTCAACCAGAGTTCCTCGACCAGGATCGTCGACCATCGCTCTTCGACGGGAGCTCGTCGCGCAGAGATCGTCGACCAGAGCTTGTCGCGCATAGCTCGTCGACCAGATTCTGTCGAGCAGAGCCTGCTCGACCGCAACTTCCGTCGAACTGCAGAAACTCATTTCGTCGACCAATCCGTCGCGAACTTCTCGTCGACGGCGAGATCGGCTGCGCCCAAGCGAGGGCGGGGCCTTTCTCTTCGACAAAGACGGTGGTGCCAAAGCTGCGCAGGGTGGGTGAGGAGGCGACACGAGCAGGACGCAGCGAGCTGACCAGACGCAGCTACCTGTGCAAACGCTGTGGAGAGTGTGTACAGGTTCGACCCCGGCTGCCGTGTGAACGTAGCCAGGTGACGGCCTGTCTTGGCGCATGTGCAGATCGCCACACGCTGACCTCCAGGAGTAAAGGTGGCAACCCATACATCCTGGAGGATGGCGTTGCTCACCAGGTTCGTCGAGAACGAGGGGAGGTGGAGGCCTGACAGAGAGCCAGAGGGGTTAGCTGGGCACGGGAGGACAGTGGAGTGGCGTGCAACCACCGGACCCCCAGAGGGGTCCGCCAGTGAGACTGGGACTGGTGTAGTGAGTGGGGTGACATTGGTGCAGTCGCGAAAGAAGCAACGGGACGCACCAGAGTCAAGTGTGAAAGTGTGCAAGACCTCAGCAGTAGCAGCAGACTCACTAGCACCTGGTGCAATAGCGACACTAGCACCTAGAGTGGCAGCAGACACACTAGCACCTGGAAGAGCAGCATCACCACCAGCATCGCAAGGCACACACGAGTAACACGCACCCTCAACACTATTATCAGCAAAATACATGGCATAGAGAGCAGCATTGATCTTAGCAAAGTCAAGAGCAAACACATCTACCCCCTTCCCAATCAGCTGCAGCCAGTTCGGCACTTCCTGGTCCTCACTGTACTGGGTCACCCAGGCGTCCTCAAGACGGCCAAAGCACTTGTACTTAGTGTGCGGCTTCCCGCAGCCTGTGCCCTTCAGAAGCCCCGTGCGCCGGACATAAGGGCAGCGACAAGAGCCCCCACGATGGAGAACCCACTCACGGAGTTGCTGGTCGGTGGGGTTGTCCGGGAGGCGCGGCAGCTGCTGACCACTCCCGTAGCCACGGGAGGGTCCACGAGCGCCACCACCCCTGCCAGACCCACCCCGTGACCCCAACCGCGTCCCCCACCACCGCCGCCTCCTCCACCCTGTCCGCCTCCTCCACTGCCGCCACCCCTAGAGCCACCCCCAGAGCCTCCACCACCCCCGCCACCACCCCCGCCACCCCCCCCGCTACTGCCACCACCACCACCCCTGCCCCCTCTGCCCTTGCTGTTGTTGCGCCTTCCACTGGGAGCAGACGGATCGCCAACTTCCTCAGCACCAAGGAGGTCGACTGCAACAGCGGTAGCAACTTCAAAGAAGGGCGAGCAGGGAGTGCCACGAGAGGCAGCGACAGCGACAGTGCTCTTCTCAGCCTCGAGAAGGGCCTGCTCAAGAGAGTCAAGTGTGAGCTCAGTGGGGTCCATGGCTAGGAACCGGTCCCTGACAGTGCGAAGGGAGTCAGGGAGGCGAGTGATAAGAAAGTACGGGGTGAAGTACTGCGGGGGGGGGTTCTTAGCGAGAAAGGCCGGCTTGAGAGCGGCACGGAAGCGATCCTCACTAGAGCGGAGGTAGGTGAACAGGTCAGAGACAGTGCGGAACTCAGCTAGATCGGGATGCAGGTACGGCATCATGAGACGCCCTACAGCAGCAGTAGTTAGGGAGGAGTAGCGAGCAACGACAGCGTCATAGAGATCCTTGGCCGTTTTCTGCCGGCTAAAGTGCGCGCGCTCAGTGACGGGCAAGTGGTTGCGGACAGCAAGGCGGGCAGCTGCATCACGCATGAGCCACTTAGACAGATCATCTACAGCGTCGGCAGCAGGGGGTGGGAGCTTTCCCTCTGTGTGCAAAAACAGGGAAATACCATCCTTAGACTCGCTCTGCAGGAACAGCTGGAGATCGTCGAGCCAGACATCAAAGGAAATCGCGCGGCCCTCAGCATCGAACGTAAGAACTGACATGTTAGCCATAGCAGCAGTAGCAGCTGTAGCAAGTGCAGTAGTAGCAGCAGTAGCAGCAGTAGCACTAGCTGTAGCAGTAGTAGTTGCAGCAGCAGCAGCAGTGACAGCTCAGGTTGGGCGGCGCGGCTCGAACAGGGCGGCGCGGCTTAGACTGGGCGGCGTGGCTCGGCAGGGCGGCGCGGCTCGAAATGGGCGGCGCGGCTCGGGCTCAGTGGCAAAGCAGCAGCGGCACGTAGCAGCAGCAGCCGGCGCGCAGCAGCAGAGGGCGCGCGCGGGCCGTGGGCTTGCAAGTGAGGGGCGCGCAACAGGTGCGCGTAGTGCCGCTCTAAAGGGGGCTCGCAGCAGGTGCGCGCTAGGGGCTGGCGGGCAGCGCGAGTGGCGCGCGCAGCAGCAGGAACGAGGGGGGACCGGGCGCAGAGGCTGACGGGCCGCGCGAGTGGCGCACGGGGCAGCTAGGACGCGGTCAGGAGGGGTCGCGACTCCGGGAGAAAAAACGTCAGGCCGCGCGGGCCGTTTAGGAACTGTCGCGACCGTGAGTGCGGGGGCGCCACAACGCTAGCTACTGTGTAGGGCGTGGCGCTACTACTAGGCGGAACGGTGGGCCCGTGTAGGAACGGTTCCTACTCTGATATCATGTCAAGAATAGAACTAGGAAGTGATGATTGAACTAGGCAAGAGGTGAGTACAAGTAGGGGAAAGCTAACCCTAAAGTGTTGTACTCACTAAGGAGTGACCCTACTGTAGCCTAGAGATACAATTGTAATTTGACACTCACTTCCCAAAGTGAGGCCAACCCAACCCATGGCCAACCCAACCTTTCCCCTCCAAGCTTCTCATCCAACCTATGTATGCTTTTTTCTCCTCTAATGAATCCAATGGTTTATGTTCAACTCTACTTTCACACATGGTATAGAGCTTAACTCCTTGGCTTACATCTCCCTCCCTCCCAAAAATTTTATTCCTCCTTCTCCCAAGGGCCCACCCTTCCCCGCTTAGCCGCCGTGGCCTAGACCGCCGCCGCCGCCCCCAATTTCGCCCGTCAGTTCTGCTCCCGCGGGCATTTCGTCCGTCAGTTCTGCTCCCGCGGGCATTTCGCCCGTCATTTCTGCTCCCGCGGGTATTTCGCCTGTCAGTTCTGCTCCCGCGGGCATTTCGCCCATCAGTTCTGCTCGCGCGGGCATTTCGCCCGTCAGTTCTGCTCGCGCGGGCATTTCGCCCGTCAGTTCTGCTCCCGCGGGCATTTCGCCCGTCAGTTCTGCTCCCGCGGGCATTTTGCCCATCAGTTCTGCTCCCGCGGGCATTTCGCCCGTCCGTTCTGCTCCCACGGGCGTTTCGCATCTTCACCACGCCTCTGCCGCCCCCCCCCCCCCTTCCTCCCCCTTCCCCCTCTCTTCCTCCTCCTTCGGGCCATCCCGCCCTCCTCCCCCTCCCCCCTCGCCTCCTCCTCCTAAGGGCCATTCAGCGCTCCTCCCCCCCCCCTTCCCCCTCTCCTCCTCCTCTCCCTCTCCCCCCCCCCCTCTGCAGCAGCAGCAGCAGCGGCAGCATCAGCCGCAGCAGCAGCAGCAGCAGCAGCAGCTGCAACCTCCCTTCCCCCTCTCCCTCCTCCTCTCCCTCTCCCCCCCCCTCAGCAGCAGCAGCAGCCGAACCAGCAGCAGCAGCGGCGGCAGCATCAGCCGCAGCAGCAGCAGCAGCAGCAGCAGCTGCACCCTCCCTCCCCCCTCTCCCTCCTCCTCTTCCTCTCCTCCCCCCTCAGCAGCAGCAGCAGCGGTAGCAGCAGCTGCACCCTCCCTTCCCCCTCCCCCTCCTCCTCTCCCTCTCTCCCCCCCTCCCCCCCCCCCAGCGGCAGCAGCGGCAGCAGCAGCAGCTGCACCCTCCCTTCCCCCTCTCCCTCCTCCTCTCCCTTTCCCCCCCTCCTCAGCAGCAGCAGCAGCAGCCGAACCACCAGCAGCAGCAGCAGCAAGCGGTGGAGTGCAACAGCAGCAGCAGGAGCAGGAGCAGCACGAGGAGTGCAGCGGCAGCAGCAGCAGCAGCAGCAGCAGCAGCAGCAGGTGCGCAGCGGCAGCAGCGGCAGCGACAGAAGTAGTGCAGCGGCAGCAGCAGCTACAGCGGGAGGAGTGCAGCGGCAGCAGCAGCATCAGTAGCAGGAGGAGGAGTGCAGCAGCAGTAGCAGCAGCAACCCCCCCTTGGCCGCCGCGGGTCCACCCGCCGTCGCCTCTCATGGCTGCCAACCCCCCTGCCCCTCTTCCCCCTCCCATCGACGCCTCTTCAGTCGACAAGCTGCAGCTTGCTGCAGATCGTTCGGCCATCAATTGGCACTCATTCGTCGGCAGCATTCGCCGCGTCCTCCAGGATGCTTTCGTCGGACCCTACTGTGTCCTTGACGTCCTCCTTCGCCGTGCGCACGCCCTCCAGCCGACATTACCCAATCACCCTGGTGAACTCCCTCCTCTCCCCGACCCTCCTGGCTCTCCTCCTTCCGAGCCTGAGCTGGTCAGGGCCTCCACCTCTGACCTTCAAGCTGCCGCCGACACCACCTTCCTCCACAACCGCCGCGAGTACCTCGTTTGCAAGGCCGCTCATGAGGTTGCTGTGCACAACTTCGAGTTCGCAACGGCAGAGCGTGCCACTCGCCAGGCTTTGCTTGACACCTACAACATGGCCATGGCACTCCACATCCCCAACAGCCTCGCCTGGGCCGCTGCCGACAACCGCGCCTGTACCATCCTCCTTGGTGCACTCCCCGACGCCCTTATGCGCCGTTTCCAAGCCCGTGAAATGCGAGCCTCCCTAATCTGGGCTGAGCTCCAGTCAATGTTTGAGCGTCGCGACATCAGCTCTGTCGGCGTTCTCCTCCAGGAGTACTTCTCCATTACCCTCGCTACCTGTGACGGCACAGTCGACTACGTCGGGCGCATGCAGGAAGTTGCTGATCGCCTTGCGGCCCGTCAGTGCGTCCTCCCTGAGCCGCTGCAGATCCACCGCATGCTCTTCAACCTCACACCGGACTATGAGTCCTGTCTGCATGCCTTCACTGAGGCACACCCCCTTGCTGGCCTCGACCCGGTGGTCCAGTGGATCATTGATACGGAGGTCAAGCTCCGCACTCCCATTGTCAACCTCACCACCCCCCAGTCCTCCTCCTCCCCCTCCCTCAATGCCACACAGCCGCGCAACCCAGGTGGTCGCAACGGCGGAGGAGGTGGTCGTGGAGGGGGCGGCGGTGGTGGTGGTGGTCGGGGCGGTAGTGGTGGCCGTGGTGGCCGTGGTGGAGGTGGTGGTGGTGGTGCTGGCAGTACCGCTCCTGGAGGCCCCCCTGGTGCCAGTGGTGCTGTCGTTCGTGGTGGTCGCCCGGGGACTCTCCCCCCCTGCACCTACGTTCGCCGTCATGTCCCAACGCCGGCACGCCCTGTGGTCAGACCAACCACCTTCCCACCACTTGCTTCAAGGCGCTCGATGACGCCTGGTTTGACCGCGGCAACACTGGCACCCCCCCCTCGCTGGGGCAGTGTCACCCCTCGCCCCACCCTGGTGGACGTTCAGACTCTTCCCTCCTTCCTCCCTGCTCACCTCCGCCTACTCACCCCCTCCCCCCCTTCCCAGCTGCAGCAGTTCCAGCAGCACTAGCAGCAGCAGCAGCAGTACTTCTAGCAGCAGCAGCTACCGCAGTTCCTCCAGCCGCAGCAGCAACCGCCGCAGCAGTACTTCCAGTAGCAGCAGCAGCAGCAGCAGCAGCAGCAGCAGTTCCTGCAGCTGCAGTGGCAGTAGCAGCCGATGACCTTCGGCACAGCAGCCATGGCCGCCCATGCTTCCCTTGCTCCCCCCCTCTGGGGTTCCCTCCCCTCAGCCCCCCCAGTGTCTTTGACACTCATGGCAGTTTCCTCGGTCATATTGATGTTGCACCTTCCGTCGCTTCCGTGTATCCCTCTGCTATCAATGAGACGTCTTTCCAGTACCCCGTGCCACCTCCCCCTCCTTCCTCCTCCACTCTGGACTTTGTCCTTGACAGTGGGGCCACCAATACTGCACTCAAAGACGTTGGCACCCTCACCCCCCTTCCACTTCCCACCCAGGTTCATGGTGCTGACTCCAGCTTTTCCATCCCCTGCACTCATCTTTCCACCCTCCCTTGCACCGCTTTCCCATCTGGTAAAGTCACAGGTCTCCACATCCCTACCCTTCGCAACAAACTCCTCTCCCACCGTGAGCTCCAAGGTGTTGGTATTACCGCCATATACCCTGGTTTTGCTACATACTGTGATCTCTACCACACAGCCTCCGGTCGCTTCCTCCTTCGCATTCCCCTTTGCCCTCGCACTCGCCTTTACACGCTCCGCACGCCTCGTCCATCTTTCTGTCACGTCACCACTCGTGCTGGTACTTCCACCGGCCCCCCTCCCCCTCTCCCTCCCCCCCCCACTCCCCCTCAGGTATCCTCCTCCCCCATCTCCTCTCCCACCCCATCCCCTTCCTCCTCTACTGCCCTCTCCCACCCAGCAGTTCTTTTGCATCACAGACTCGGCCATCCCAACTTCGCCGCACTCCGCACCACAGTCACCTCTCGCCTCCTTAACAACCTTCCTCCCACATTACCTCCCCTCCCCTCCTCCTCTGCTCCCCCATGCCCATCATGCATCCAGGGCAAGCTCAAACAGTCTCCCCATCACAGCCATCCCACCTTCGTCGCTGCCCTCATTGACCTTGTTCACATGGATCTCTGGGGCCCCTACCCCATCCGCTCCCGTCAGGGGCATCGGTACATGCTCGTCCTCGTTGACGACCACAGCCGGTACTCCACCACCTTCTTTCTTCACACGAAAGACCAGGTGCCGGCGGTGGTCATCAACTGGGCCGAGCTGTGCCGCACTCACTTCAAACGCCCCATTGGCCGCCTTCACTCTGACGGTGGGGGGGAGTTCATCAATAACACTCTCGCCACATACTGCAAAACCTACGGCATCCAACAGACCTCCACTCTTCCCCACTCCCTTCAGCAGAACGGCATTGGTGAGAGTCGCATTCGTGAGATCACCAAGATAGCTCGCTGTCTCATTGCTCATGCCTCCACCCCTCCTTCCCTCTGGAGCTATGCCCTTCTCCATGCCGCCCTCCTCCTCAATCTCCGCTCCCACCCTCAGCTCCCCTCTTCCTCCCCCACAGAACTCTGGTCAAAGGCCAAGCCTGACGCTGCCAGCCTTCGTGTGTGGGGCTGCAAGGCGTTCGTCCTCATTCCACCGGCCGATCGCTCCCGTGCTGCTGGCAAGCTCGCCCCTCGTGCCCTGGAGTGCGTCTACCTCGGGCACAATCGTGATTCCCCAGGCTACCTGTTCCTCCACCCTCCCACCAACCGCCTCATCCGCAGCGTTGACGTTGTCTTTGACGAGTCCATCCCCTACTACTCCACTCCTCCTCCTGACCCTCTTCCTCCTCCCACTTGCCCCCTCGCTTGGACCGACACCATCCTCCCCCCTCTTCTCCCTCCCGCGCCTCTCCTCCCACCTGTCGCCGCCCCGCTCCCGCCTTCCTCCTCTGCTGACGTCTACGACCCTGCCGCACCCGCCTCCCCGGCGCACTCAGCTGCACCCCCTCCCCCCTCTCCCTCCTCCTCTCATTCTCCCCCTTTGCAGCAGCAGGAGGGGCAGCAGCGGCAGCCGCAGCCGGGGCCGCAGCAGCAGCAGCAGCAGCAGGGGCAGCAGCAGCAGCCGGGGTCGCAGCAGCAGCAGAAGGGGCAGCAGCAGCTGCAGGGGCAGCAGCAGCAGCAGCATCTGCAGGGGCAGCAGCAGCAGCAGCAGCAGCAGCAGCAGTGGCAGCAGCAGCAGCAGGGGCAGCAGCAGCAGCAGGGGCAGCAGCAGCAGCAGCAACCGCAGGGGCAGCAGCAGCAGCAGCAGCAGCAGCAGGGGCCGCGGCAACAGCAGCAGCACGGTCAGCAGCAGCAGCAACAGCAGCAGCACCAGCAGCAGCAGCAGCAGCAGCAGCAGCGGCGCCGTGCCACTTCCCGCTCCTCCCCCTTCCTCCTCCCTCACATGCACACCCGCTCTGTGGACAAAATCCTTGGGGCTCCTCCTCCTGCCTCCATTCAGCTCCTTGAGGACTCCCATGAGGAGTTCCTCAACATCCGGGAGCATACTCCGTTCCTTGCCTCCCTCTACCTTGACTTCCTGGGCTTTCCCGTCCTTGGCGCCACCACTACCCCCACCATCTTCACTCCCTCCACCTTCCAGGAAGCCATCACCTACCCTGACGCGGATAAATGGATAGCGGCAATCTTCCTGGAGTGTGAGGCATTCATTCGCAACGACTCCTTTGTCGATGTCCCCCTCCCAGCTGGCGCCAACCTCGTCGAGGGCAAATGGGTCTTTCGGGTGAAGCAGCTGCCGGGTGAGGAGCCGGTCTACAAGGCACGCTACTGCGTGAAGGGCTTCACGCAGACTTGGGCCGAAGATTACTGGTTCACCTACGCCCCCACCGCCAAACCACCCACCCTTCGCGCAGCCCTCGATGTTGGTGCGCGTGACAACATGGAAATTTGTTCCATGGACGTCTCCAACGCGTTCCTGCAGAGTGACCTGCACGAGCGCATTTTCCTTCGGCGGCCCCCTGGGTTCCACGCGGCCTTTCCTGAGAACACTGTGTGGCAGCTGCGTCGCCCTGTCTACGGTTTGAAGCAGGCGCATAGGGAGTGGCATGCGAAGCTGTCTGCCACCTTGGGGTCCCTCGGCTTCTCTGCTTCGCACTCTGACGCCAACCTATTCATTCGCTCCTCCCCTCGCCGCTTCTTCATTCTGGCGTATGTGGATGGCATGATCCTGCTTTCTGACTCCAAGGATGACATGGCGCAGATGAAGCTGTCACTGCAACAACGTCTCAAATGCAAGGACCTGGGCGTTCTCACACACTACCTGGGCATGACCATCACGCGCAACCGCCCTGCTCGCACCATCACTCTCTCCCAATCCCATTACATCGGCCAGGTCTTAGAGAAGTTTGAGATGGCGCAGGCCAAGCCCGTGTCCACCCCCCTCCCGCTCGGTCACCAGCTCGCCCCTCCCACTTCTCCCTCCTCCTCCCCTCACCCCTATGCCGAGCTCGTTGGGTCGCTGATGTACGCGATGATGTGCACCCGCCCCGACCTAGCCTACCCCATCAGCGTGCTCGCACGCTTTGTTGGCACCGGTCGTCACACTGAGGAGCATTGGAAAGCTGCCAAGCGGGTCCTCCGCTACCTTCGCGGAACCAAGGACCATGTCCTCACCCTTGGCGACCCCTCCCCTCCTCTCCTCTCGGGCTTTAGTGATTCATCCTGGGCTGAGTGCCAGCCGGACCGCCGCTCCTCCCAGGGCTACGGTTTCACCCTTGGCAGTGGCCTCATCAGCTGGCGCTCCACTCGCTCCTCTGCCATTTCCCTCTCCACCTGCGAGGCTGAGCTCTACGCTGGCACCATGGCCGCCCAGGAGTCTCGCTGGCTCTGCTTTCTTCTTGCAGAACTTGGCGCCCGACAGCCCTGCCCCACTCTCTGGTGTGACAATGCCAGCACCATCCACCTCACCCAAGACCCCGTCTATCACGCCCGCTCCAAGCACATCGAGCTCCGCTACTTTTTCATCCGCGAGCTCGTCCAGCAAGGCCTCATTACTGTGAGGAAGATTGCGGCGGAGGCCAACTTGGCCGACATCTTCACCAAGGCCCTCCTTCGCCCTGCGCACTCTGCTCTCCTCCGTCTCATTGGCCTTGCTCGCCCGGGCGCCCCTTGATTCAGGGGTTGTTCCTGGATTTATTATTCTTGCAGGTCACCAGTTTTCGGAAAAATGTTCAGCAGTGGTTTTCAAGAAGAGTCCAAGAGCACAGTTGACATACAGGACATTGACGGGCCTACTTTATAGAAGCTAGTTCTGTTCATGTATTCTGGCGAATTACCTCTGAAAATTGCTACCATGCGGGTGAGTTCGGCGTTTCAGCTTTCAGTGGAATTTAAAGCAGTTTGTTGCGTGTAGTTAGACGTTGTTGCATTTTTTTTCCTTCCTCCCTTTGTTGTGACCTTTGTTGTGCTGTGCAGGAAGTTAAGCTACTTGTGGCAGCTGATAAGTATCAAGTTCTGGAGCTCAAGGAGCACCTGTGTTCGTGTCTGTGCAAACTCCTGGATAATGACATAGTGTTTTCGGCGTTTAAAATAGCTGATATGCACAATGCGCCTTCTTTACGACAAGCTGCTGCTGATTACATTCTTAACAAGGTGGATCGAAAAGCAAGCTCTCCTATTATAATGGTAATGAGAAACCCCTCTACAAACTGCGTAGAGTTGCTTCTATTTCTGTTTTCACCAGTGGCTCAAATGTGTGCATTTGTGTTGTGTGCAGGGAATGCTGCTTGGGGAAGATACGGTGAACAAGAGATTGGCAGCTGAGCTTTTGGAGAAGGGATGGGTGAGTAAATAAACTGTCTGAAAAATGGTCAGCTGAGATTGTTAGTTTTCTTTTTCCGCTTGTCTTAGCCAGTCAGCAGCAGCATGCTTTGCCTTGTAGTTTTTTTTTTTTTTTCTTTTTTTTTTTTTTGGTATGTTCGGTAGCAATGAGAAGAAATGTGACCACTGGCCCGGCTAAGCAACAGATCATTGCAGATGTGCTCTTTGTTATGGAAGCGAAAACCGATAGGGGTGAATGGGTGTGTGGAATGAGAGGGGTAAGCGGGTGTGGGGAATGAGAAGGGGAATGGGAGCGGAAAAGGAGAGGGGTGAGTGGGAGTGAAGAATGGGAGGGGTGCATGGGGGGGGAGTGTGTGTGGACAAATGAGAGGGGAAAATGGGAGTAGGGAAGGAGAGGGTTTAATGAGAATGGGGAGTGAGAGAGGTGAATGGGGCCAGGGAATGAGAGAGGTGAGTGATAGCGGGTAGGGTCCATGTGAGCGGGGGAGTAAGAGGGGAAGCTGGAAATGAGAGCGGGTAATGAGAAGGGTGCGTAGGAGAAGGGAAAGAGGGGGAAATAAATGGGAACGGGATATGAGAGTGGGGAATGGAATTGGGGGATGAGGGGGTATGAGGGGTGATGAGGGGTGATGAGGGGGGATGAGGGGTGTGAAATGGACGGGAAACGAGAGTGGTAACGAAACCGGGGAACAAGAGGTGTGAATGGGAGTGGGGAAAGAGAGGGTGAATAGGAGCGAGGAATGAGACGGGGAAATACAAGTGGAAAATGGGAGGGTTGAATGCGATTGGGGAATAGAGGCGTCATGGGTATGAAGAACAGGAAGGGTGATGCGGTTGGGGAATGAGAAGGAATGGGAGCGGGGAATGGAAGGGCTGAGTGGGAGCAGGGTACAAAAGCGTTGAGTTGGAGCAGGGAGAGTGGGGGCAGGGGCAGGGAATGAGAATGGTGAACAGGTTTGGGGAATGAGAGGCGTGAATGATAGTGGGGAAAGAGGGATAATCAGGAGCAGGGAGTGAGAGGGGGGAATGTGAGTGGGGAATGGGAGTAGTGAATGAGGGTACGGGATGAGAGGGGTGAATGGGAGTGGGAAAAGCTGGAGCGGAATTGAGAGTAGTGAATGATGGTGAACAGAAATGGAGAATGAGAGGCGTGATTGGGAGAGCGGAATGAGAGGGGGGAATTGGAGCGGCATATTGGGGGGGTAACTGGTATTGGGGAAGGAGAGGGATGCATGGGAATGGGGAATGAGAGGGTTGATTTGGATTGGGAATGATACCTAGAGCTGATGTGAGCGAGAAATGAAAGGGGTGAATGGGGGTGGGGGTTGAATTGGAATGGTTGAATGGGATCAGGGAATGAGAGGTGGGCGCAGAGATTGAGAGGGGGAATGGGAGCAAGGAATGAGAGGAGAGAATGAAAAATTTGACATAGTCTGTGTGGGATGGATGGGATGTGGGAAAAGAGTGGAAATATGAATGTAGAATGAGGGTGAAAGTGGGAATGATGGAAAATTAGAGAGTGGAAACTAATAAAAGAATTGGAGTGTGGAATGAGAGGAGGGGATGGGCAAAGTGAATGGGAGGGCAGGATGGGAACGGGGAAGGAGAGATGGGGAACGGAAGTGAGCTGGGGGGAATGGGAATGGGACATGGGAGGGGTGAGTGGAAATAGGGAATGAGATGGATGAAAGAGGGTCGAATATGAGCGAGGAGTGAGTGTGGAAAGAGGTGAATGAAGGAGGTGCTTGGGAACGAGGAATGCTAGGGGTTATTGAGAACGGGGAAAGAAAGGAGTGAATGGGAGGGGTGACTGGGAGCTGGAAATGAGGGGGGGAAGTGGGAGCCGGAATTGAAAAGGGTAAACAGAAGTGAGGAAAAAGGGGTGAATGGGAGCAGGTAATGAGATGTTAGAGTCGGACCTGGAATTAAGAGGATGAATAGGAGCAAGGAATGAGAGGGGTGAATGGGGGTGTGGAATTGAGAAGCGCGAATGACAGCAAGGAATGAGGGGTGAATGAGATGGCGCGATGGGCGCGGGGAGTGCGTTTGGTGAATAATGAGGGGGGTGAATTGGAATGCGGACGAGAGGGGCGAGTAGGATGGGGTGAAGAGGTGTGAATGGGATGGGGGGTGGGGAGAGGAATGGTAAGGGGGAACAAGAGGGGTGAGTGGTGAAGGGGTGATTGGTGAATGAGAGGGGGAAAAGGGAGTGAGGAATGAGAGCGGTGCTTGGGATTGGGGAGGGAAAAGGGTGTATATGGGGGAATAGGAGGGGCGTATGGGGGTGGGGAATGGGGTGAATGGGGGCTGAGAGAGGTGAGTGGGGGCTGGAAATGAGAATAGTGAGCGGTATCAGGGAACAATAGAGGTGAATGGGAGTAGGGGATGGGGGGGGGTCAGTTTAAGGGGGGATGAGAGGGATGAATGGGAGCATGGGATGAGAAGTGTGAATAGGAGTAGAGAATGAGAAGGGTGACTGGGAGTGAATGCGAGGGGTGATGTTGGGGTGAATGAGAGGATAAATGGAAGCGGAGAACGAGAGGGGTGAGTGGGTGCAGCAAACGGTGGCTGACTGTGAATTGGGAATACGAGGGTAACACAGAATGGGAAATTTATGGGCCGGATGGGAGCTGGGGAAAGAGTGGTAGAAATGGGGGTGGGGAATGAAG